TTTAATTCATATTCATATTTACATTTTCACAAATATTTTGCATGCATATTTCTAATTGATCCAATGTTGAATTTTCATATATACTAACTCACATGCATTGATCCAAAGTTGAGTTTTCATATATGCTAAAACAAACAAAATCTCAAATCCATAATTATTTTATGTGAGAACACCTGGTTGAAAAATGACTTTTGAAAAAATGTATTTTGTAAAAAATGGAGCCCAAACATGGGCCAGAAAAAGGAGATGAAATTATTACCGAAAAATTTGCACTTGAAATCTTATAATATAGTAATGAAAAAAAGAAAGAATTTTTTTTTTAATTATAATACTTGAAAATAGATATGTAACTTTTAAAAGGATAAAACTACTTTGCTAGAAGAATTTGACAGAAATCTTGACATAATTGCACGTAATAATAGATGACTGGATAAAGTAGTTGACTATATTTCAAACTATGATTAATGGGAAAAAATCTCTTGGGTGAAATACAACCTTTTTTGTGCAAAAAATTTCGTACTGTCTAATTCCGTTAGTCTAACCATTAAAAACAGTACAAAATTACCTAAATTTAAAAAAAGAATAATTTCAGTTGTGGTCCCAAACTTTTTATTTTCTTTTTGCAAATTACACCAAAATTTTTTATTTGCACCACCCACAATTCCAAACCTTTAAAACTTTATTTTCTTACCTATCCAACCCCAAATAATTGCAGCTGTGAACACCAACATTATTCCTAAAAAATTCTACAACTTCGTATTTCATATTCCTTGATGATTATATATCGGCAGATTTTTAAAAGGTTGATTGTTGATCGCATTTATATAGCTTTGCTTCTCTGAAATAGGCTTGTCATTTTTTAAACAGGTTCAATTACACAATAAGCAAGTCAATTTGATATACAAAGCCCACCTCTTTCCCCAAAGAACAAACAAATAATTGAAATAATGTCGAGTGTATCACTTGCTGAGCCCCACGTTCCGAGCCTAATTGGACTATTTCCATTTTCATCTCCTCTTTTCTCCAATTCACAAGTTACAATAAACCAATCTTGCAAAACCTGAGTAGGATCCCATAACCACCAACACTTAATTAAAATTAGGGCTAGAGTTTTTAGAAAATAGACTACTCGAAAACTTTGGTGTAGAAGGCCCTATATTTCCTTGGCTTGGGATTCTATTTCGAAAACCATTGTTGTTCCATTACTCATAGTGGAAAAAAAAACTCAAGAACACAAGAATTGTTTTGTCTTGAAAGGGTCCGGATGTTTAGTATTAAGACCTAATCAGCCGTTGAGCATCTGTTAAGAGATATAACTCTAGATCCACTAATATCAACCAAAAAACAGTACAATTTCTTCAACTTTTCTCTAGCCTCTTTATTTACAATCGATAACCAAAACGCTCGTAATCTCACAAAGATTACATAGTAATCATCACTCTTACTAAAAGAATAGAGATTAAACACAAAGATCACAGTTACAAATTTTAAAGAAAATGAAAAACCATACTTACAAAATGAAGAAGACAAAAGACCCAAATATCAGTCTATACCAATAGGGGTAATCCAAGGTCAAGAGTAAGCCATGTGGACGGCAGATCACAAGTGGCAAAGTTGTCCTTTTACAAAATACATTTTATTTTTCCAAATGGGTTGCAACCCGGCTTTAGAAAACAGGTAGCCCAAGTATATTAATAATTCCACTTTGCTGAACTATTACTTGTCATCTATTAAAGGTTATAGACATTAGTTGCCTTTGTTAGGCAATTTATTGTCAAACGAGCCCCCGGGCTATGATGTAACCCTAGTTTTATCTATTATCAATCGGCCTTGGCCATATGATTGATTTATATGTCGACACAATTATCGAAACAATTCAACCCACATTCCTATGGACCGTTAGAAGCAACCTATTGTTAATAGTGTTGCTTATGGTTCGTCCCACTTCCTTGGAAGGTTATGGTATTAATTTTGGAGCCCATTATTTTGAGTCGAGCCTTGTTTGGTCCACTAAATAAACCTAACCTAACTTATCTTGTTTGGTCACTTGCTTGGCTTATATTCTCGGCCTCTCTCTCCGCCTCTACAATGAAGAATGATCCACCTCTCTCTGTGACTTTGATTCTCGGCTTCTCTTCTTCATATGACCTTTATGGTTTCTTGTGGGCATATTATTATTCTTCATCTTGGCCAACTCTTTGTGAGTATATTATAGCAACCGAAAGTGGGATATAGGCGGTGGTTCTTTGGGCGTTGTCTCAACCCGATGGTGGTGTCGATATATAGGCGAAATTGAGCCTGGTTTACCTTGGTATTTGCTGGAATTCGGCCCTACAGCCTTCATTTACTCTAAGTACCTGAAAAAAAAATGAAGTTAGTATAGTTTTCAACAAATGTTATTCTAAATATCATAGTCTTCACGTGATGTTTAGAATCTTCAAGCAATTTCTAAACTTATTAAGAGACAGACCTTAGATCCTAAATCTATGGGATTGAGTTTCGTAGCAATTTTAAGTAAACAAATCAGGACTTTCTCAACCATATTTCTCACAAAATGAAATTTTATACCACATGTGTAGTTATATCATGATATGCAGGATTCTTACTAAGATCAATGCCACTTTGATTATCAGTATAAATCCTAACAAATCCATTGATAAACCCAATTTCATTTAAAAGCCCCCTTAATCAAATATTTTCTTTAACAGTATCACAAGTAGCAATATGCTCAATTTTTGTGGAAGACAGAGCAACCAATTTTTGCAGTTGAGATTTCCAACTTATACATCCACCACACAAAGTAAAAATATAAGATGATATGCATATCCTTTTATCTAAGTCACCAGCAAAGTCAGAATCGATATAGCCTTTAGGAACTATTCCTTCATTGCTTCATTTAAACATTAAGCCTAAGTTACATGAACTTTTTAAGTATTTTAACATCAATTTCATAGCTATCCAGTGTGTTTCACTTGGGTTTGCCATAAACCTGCTTAAAATACTAATGTCATTAGCTAAGTCAGGTCCAGTACACACCATAAGATACATTATGAATCCTACAGTGTTGGCATAAGGTACATTTTCCATTCTTCTAATTTTATCATCAGTTTTAGGTGATTGATCACTAGACAGTTTAAAGTGATTAGCAATTGGCAATGAGACATGTTTACAATGGCTTTAATGGCTTCCATTTATAGTTTTTTATAAGGGAAAATACTTCCATCTATCAACAAGAATTTTGTTTTCCTTAGGGATGGTCATTTTTCTAACCCTTTTATGATAAACAAATGAGGGATCATCTATATGTGACGTCGTGGTGATCATCCCAATTTGTATGTATAATTATTGTTAATATTTTTATTCTTTAATACTTTTTTTGCCTCATCTCGTTTGTAAAAATTCATTTATTTGGAGACTTTTAATGTTGAAAATTACATTAAGATTTCTAAATTCTAGAAGTAAAACAAATGTTACAACATGAACGTTTAAAGAGTAATTAAGACAAGAATCACTGATTTATATACGCGCTAATTGATTCTAAGTAATTTTATGCCCCATTGGCAACATTAAAGACTTTTTTTTTGAATTAATTAGTTTCTTAATTTTGGAATAGACGTTTTGTTTCCCATTAATGTTCATTTCACCATATATTTATATTTCCATGGTTGAGTAATGTAATAACTAGCATCTATATAAAGAATTTTGCAAAGCTAAAACTTTGCCGTGAAATAGTAAATGAGTTATAGCCATCTATGATGCTACTCTTTTGAGAAAATTTGATACTATATTCAAATGTTTGTCCTAATAATGTCAGAAAAATTAATATGTAGAAATTAATATGTTTTTTTGGCCATGAAAATTTTATGCATTTTTCTTGATTGCAAGAATGCCTACAGTAAGGGCTTGTTTGATAGTCTTATTTTTCCATGGAAAATGGAAAAAATTCATCGAAATGGTGTGTTTGATGGCAAAAAAATTCCATGGAATTGATTTTCTAATTACCCTTCACGCGATGCTGCTTTTATGGTTTTTATGGACTTCGATTTCCTTTGGTTTTGGTGGGAATTGGGTTTTCCTTTCTTTTTTTTTGGACAATGGAAATAAATTATATCCACAATTATAACAAAATCTACCCCTTTAATTGACAATTTTCATAATAACAAAGCTAAATGAATACCAAAAGATCCAAAATTTTAACATTTTTTAATTGAAAAATTATAAAAATCAAATACATTTAATTGACAATTCCCAATAAAACAAGTTCTAGACAATTCAATTCTCTAAAATTCGTTTTCTTTCTATCCAAATTCCATTATTGCAATCAAACGAACCCTAAGTGTCAATCTTGAACTTGCCCCAACTGAAGAATTTCTCCCCAAGCATATATTTAGTTTTTAAGGAAAAAATTGGTGCAAGTGAAAATTGGGACGACTTCTTTTCCCATACGTTTGCCAATTTCCTTCCATTATTATTATTATTATTATTATTATTATTATTATTATTAATTCTCTCTCAAATATCCAAGCTGTTTCTGTAAATTCGTTTGATTCTAGTCTGTGAATCACAATTACTATTTACTACTAATTAAAACATATGTTACGTACATGGATTACTCTAAATCTAAAGATTTATCTGTTACTTGTTTCACTATCCCAAAAAAAAAAAAAAAATTAATATTTGTATCAAAATTTGAGAATCATAACGAAAATTTTTGGCATGCAATAGTCAACTAGTTTCAATCGTGCCAAGTGCCAACTATGCCAACTAGACAACTTTGATATGACAACTATCCTTATACATTAAGTAAAGAAGATATTATAACTCCCAAATCCGATGAAAAAATGTAAGAAGAAATTAATTAATTAAATAAATGATCGAAGCCAGCTTTAAGAAATAAATATCGACTATATATTGCCCATGTTTCTTCACATCATTTGTTCTCAACTAAATTCTTGAAATCAACCAATTTTCCTCGTATTCTTTTGAGAACACGCATTACCATGGCAAAGAAACCTAACATGGGTTGCCAAAAGATCAAATTGGCAAAAATAGAGATCAAGAATCACCTACAAATTACGTTCTCGAAACGTCGAACCGGGCTTTTCAAGAAGGCCAGTGAACTTTGTACTCTTTGTGGAGTTGAAATTACCATTATAGTTTTCTCTCCAGCTGGAAAAGTATTTTCTTTTGGAAACCCTAATGTTGAATCCATACTGGATAGGTTTTTCGACCGAAATCCATCACTAAAATCTAGCACTCCATTCCAACTTCTTGATGCTCATAGGGATTCTTTTGTCCGTGAACTAAACTTGCAACTTAACCAAATTCTTAACGATATCGAAGTTCAAAGAAAAAGGGGGGAAGCATTAGAAAATATGAGTAAAAATAGTCATATCCAGCACTGGTGGGAAGCTCCTGTAAATGAATCAGGGTTTTATGAGCTTGAACGATTAAGGGACGCCATGGAAGAATTAAACAAGAATGCCACTAATCAAGCTAATAAACTTATGTTCGAGGTAACGAATTCGATAGCGTTTTTCCACACAAATAATGTTGAAGTCTTTGATCAATATGAGACAAAACGTACACAGCCACAGGCCCT